AGGGTTGGGAGCCTGGACACAGGTTTTATATGACATGGAGCATATGGCATGGACGGCCAATTTATAAGGGATTCTCCCTGATATATTCTCCCTGCCAAAGCATTTCCGGGTAGAGAAATCCCGCAGAAGAAGAAAGGGTGTTTTAGTTCATATACTACAAAGTAGTAGTTGGACACACCATTTCGACGACGGTTGGTTTGACGGTCCATAAAGCATTCCACCTCTTCACCACATTAGTTAAAAATAATCTATCACATTTTTACTTACTTACTTAAATGAAATATTTGTCCAACAAATTTCCGCATTGGCGAATGCATATTATAAATTTATAGTCTTAAAAAAGAATAGAGAATTAAAAATGGCACTATCTTATGTCAATATGCTTAAGTACAACTAATTTGAATCTGCATTATCGATATTATTTCGTTTATTTTGTTTAGGAGTGTAAAAAACAAACATGTTTTTTTCTGTATATGGAAATTTAGACTGAAAAGTCTACCTTTGATTTGTTATTTATGGAATATCGAACTCTGACAAAAAAAAAAATAATCCTAACATAGTAACTAACACCATTTTAGTTAAATATTATCTTTTAAGATATATTGACTCTAATACTTGGGTAAAATAATTATGTCTTTTATATAGTCTGGTCACGCTGTGAGCTCTAAGACGCTATAAAGATTTGATAGTCAAAGTTGTGATGAAAAACACAACATATATATATCGTCTGTAAGACTAACAAATGTTAACCCATTTTGAAAAATTTTCTTCGAAATCGCGTTACATGATTCTAAACTTTATTAGAAACATTAAAAAAATGATTTTTTAACAGAATACAAATTTATACTTTAAATTATGTAGTATTAGCAATTAAAGTAATCTTTTATATGATAAGTCTCACTCATACCACTCATATTCTATATAGAATATGTTAATAATATTTCAGTATATTCTTATTATTCAATTTTTAGTAATAGGTGTAATGGGTGTAGATGGCCTTTGTAACTTCCTTACTTACCGCATTCCTCTTCTCTTCGTGGAGCATGGACCTCCTATGCTACACACCCCCTAAATATGTGGTCTAGGTCAGGTTAGGTTACTGAGGCTGTCCGAAGACGCTCTTAGACCATAAGGTTCATTGTGATACCCTTAACAATTTGACACCTGCCACTATAATCATTTAGTACTGGCTACAAAGCCATTGGCACGAGCTAGGGAAATAGAATTTAGCTCTCTTAATGAGCTGAAAGGGTGCGACCTTAAGTAGGAGAGTCTATGTCTTGCGAAAGCAGGACAGTGTAACAGAAGGTGTGTAGGTGCAAGGAGTCCTCATATTGAGAATATGTGGTCTAAATATTACCTATATTAAAAAATATGTGAAAATGTCCGCCCTTCAATATTCGAGGAAAAAATTAAGGCAGTTGTGTACTTCAATTTTCGTTGATATATTATTATTATACATATATGTATTATAAGATTGTAATATGATAAGTTCATCTTTCTTTCATTTTTGATATTGCACTGAAAGAATTCAGTGATTGAAATGCATTCCTATTTACTTAAGAGCTTTAAAATGAGCTTCTAAAATATTTTTTTTTTCAATTAATATTTAACAGCCCTCCCTGTCTACATTCTTGGTTAAGTACAGCTTAATTATGGCTCATATATGCACTTCCCACTTTACTATCCAAAATTAATTTATTTTATACCTACTACCATATTTTCTTACGTGCTGTACTTTTGAAAGAACTTCATAGGTGAAGATAATGATTTCTTCAGTGACTACTTTTTCTATTACGCTATATGACAATACATCCAGGTTCCTAATATGATGGGCTTTAAAATTGTGAACTTTTTAAACAATTACACATGACATCTGCTGACAAAAATAGTATGTAATTTTTACATTAAATACATGAACGACGGTTAACAACAAGTGGACTTGCAAGAGAAGGTTGAATCATACCACAAATTGTAATAATACCGTATCAAATATAGATTATTTGTAAAAATCACAGTTTGAGTTATCTCTTTTAAATTATTGGTCATTTCCTGTCAGTGAAATTTTAAGAATATCTATGTTATAAAATAAGACAACAGTGTGTTTATTATGTTCTATATATGTATAATATGTTAACAGAAAAAAATATTGGGTTAAAATAAAATATTTACTTAGGTATTCACTCGTACTAATATTTTTTAATAATCTTAGATTATCCTTTAAAGTATGTAAAAATTTAAGATGAAAGTATATAGTTGAGAGAATTTTTAATATGTGTTGTATATATCATCTTATTACTTATATCTGTGAATATTCAGTATACGTAAGTATATATATTAAATCTTAATATTTGAAATAAAGAGAAATTAAGATTTTGATGGTAAATTTATATTTATTTAGAGTTATTTGACTTTAAGCGAAATAAATTTTTCAAATTTTAAAGCACATAACAACATCATTTAACAGAACTTCTACATGAAGCCAAAAATAAAATCCTTATTCTCTCTGTGTATATGAATTTCCATATGGTCGTTTGCCACTCTATAGAGTGGTGGGGTTGGGATATGCATATATCATAATATATATGTAGAAAAGAAAAAAAAAACAATTTAATGGAAGTGCAAAAGCAACTTTTAAACAAATTAATAATAGAATGCCTGATTAGTTTGTTTAAATATCATACATATTCGAGGTTTAGCCGCGAAGAGTCGATGCTGACATTGGTTCGATGTACCGCTTCAATGTACTTGGTTGGTACGTATGAGTATCGGAACGTACAATTGTGGTTAGATATAAATAGGTGATATGTAGATATTTTTGCGTTATTCTATTGCTTATGTTAACTTCGTGGATCATAATATAATTAAAGCCCGCAACTAACGGTAGCAAAAATATTAATGAGACGCATTAAATATTTTCTCTCTTAATAAAAAAAATTAAAATATCGTACATTTTTGCTAAATATGTGAAGTGTTCGATTTATTGTGATGAAAGAACATCACCGTGAATGTTGCCACTGGCAATGTTAATACCGAAATCAAGTGAACAGATTATCGACAATGCAATCAAAATGACAAATTATAATATAAATTAAAAAATTTTTTTTTTTGCAATGTTGTCGATCAAAAGTTTATTCGATTGTGGATTTGAATTTGTGATATTTTGAGTGCAGTAAAATTATAGGTGCTGGTGTTAGCTGCTCAGACGTGTATGATCTTTATGTTTGTTTACTTTTATTTAAATTTACCGGCATTTTTGAAATGATTTAAAAACTCTGAATGTTGTCAAATAAAAAATATTACTTTATTAAACAATATAATATTATTAAAAAAGAAACACTTGATTTAATGTTTTTGGAAATGATAGTTCATAAAACTAAATATGGTTTATTTTATTTAAAAATGGTGATGTTAGTACCAATTCATTAAATTATATTTTAAATGCAGCAATTTCTAAGAACAAATTTTATTAAATGTTTTGATTAATATTTATAATTAGCCACGAAACAGGCTATTTATTTCTTCTAATAATACAACAATCTCTTAATTATTTTTGTACTACTCTTTCTCTATTCAATGAGATGATTTAGAAAAATAAAAACAAAAATAGATTTGTTTTATTAAATTACTCAAAAATATATTTAAAATTTTGTATTTAATTAAAAGTTATTCAATATTAATGTCTTCGCAAATTTATATTATTAAAAACTTCATTTTAAATTTTTAATACAATTTACTTGAATAATTTTATAATTAAATTATATGTTTAAAGCGCATTTCTGCATGCTTTTCTATTTTTGAAACTAATAATGTTTCAGCCAAAAATAATAACAAAAGCCAAAAATAATTTGAAGTATTATGGTCACTATAGTGAAAGAAGTTCTAGAGATGAAATAGTAAATTGTGAACGAATTATTATTACTTAATGAATAATTTTTGTAATTAACCTTCGTCTATATGTGTTGATGATAATACACGTTTATTTTAAAATTCTCCAGAACTTTATTAGTTTTTTAACTTCAAATGTTTAACATACATTTTTCTAAAAATTAAATATTCCCTCTACGTCCTTTTTTGATCAGTTGTTAATCTATTAACCATGAATCTATTAGAAATTATATTTTTTTTTTGCTTTTTCATTTCTCTTTCACTCAATTTACTGTAAACAAGGACTTCTTTGTCTTTATTTATTGTGAATATTTGTTAAAATTTAATATAAATTTTTAATTTAAAAATAAAGGTGGTACAAATTGGTGTGTTTGGGTGTTTATTTTGGGGTTACCTCTAAAATTAAAATGGCTCAAATAAAAAAAAAATGAAACGAGAAAAAAAACACCAACAATACGCTTTGAACAGCAAGAAAATTTTTTTATAGAACGTTTATTTATAATTATTCTTTTGCTGTATATGCGATTTTCTGCGGTAGTAAAATGTTTTAAAAACTTTTTCGTTGTTATATTTAATTTCCGATTGGCGGTGGATGGTGTGAAAATTGAATTAATATAAATATTTAAAAGTGTGTTTATTTACGATAAAACATATGAAATAATTTAAAAGTAATGTGTACCCATATTACATAAAAAAAAATGAAATAAAATGTTTATGTAAATTAAATTAAAAATTTAAAACGGAGCAAATCATCATCGATTCTTACCGTTAAAAAAAAGTGTTACCAAAGTTAAATTTTGTGTGAAAGTGTTGCCATTTCAATTATTTTCTAATCTCTATTATTTTAGAAGAAAGATAAATAAGAATGAAATTATACTTCATCTTATTATCTTATATTCATCTTATATCTCAACAAATGTGCAAAATATTTCAAAATAAACATTCTTATTTCATTTGTGTTGTCTGTGAATAAAAAGATTAATATAAAATCACAAAAGAAATTTTCACTAAGAATAGCAAATTGAGTTTAAATAATATGTAAAAAAAAACATTTGGTTTGTTGAAATAATTTCCCAAAATAAATAAAAACATCTGTTATTTAAATATAAAAATTCAGTTGTGGTTTAAAAATAAAAAATTTTCCCGCTTGGAAACCACAATTGTAGCGACGATCAAAATTTTTAAAAAAAGAATGCAGTTATTTTTGCCACAAACCACCTCGCAATTTGAATTCAGATGGCGCAGCGAGCGATGCAGTGAAATGTAAGTTCTTGTGAACTTTAAATAAAAAAGTTTTTAATAAAGGCTTTCTATAATTTTTTAAGAAAGTAAAATAAATATTTTGGGCTTTATATATATAGAATTAATGATCACGACTGCAAGCGAATAGTTTAAATAATTGTGAAATGATAAATAAATAATAAAAAATATAGTTTTTGCTCTCTTTTAACAATAAATTGTAATGTTAGTTGGTGCTGGCTATTATAATATTATTGCTATTGTTATAATACTTTACCAAAGCTGTACCACTGGCTTTTCTAATAATAATAATACACAATTATAAGTATCGTAAATAATCATATATAAATATATCTAAATATATAAATAAATAATTAATTCAGTTATATTTTTGATATTATTAATAGACATATTAACTTTTTGAATTGATCATCAATTGAATTGTTAGATTGAAATAATTTATTAAATAGTAAATTATTTTATATCTTTAAGTCTCTCATGTTTACCTACAAACGTCAAAATTTGTTTTTATCTTAGTATTTCCAAAGTATTTCTTTCATAAAATTGGAGTACTATATAATTCAATATATCTTACATATTACATATATGTAATATGTGTACACATTACATATTATATATATGATGAGCAATATTTAAAAATATTTTAAGCTTGACTGATTATTTTTTTTAAGTAATAAAACTGACTAACCTAAAAAAGAAACCATTATACATAATATATATATGATTATTCAGTTTGTGGTTCTGAAAATATACGTAAATAAAACACACTTGCGATTAAGATTTCGTTTACTGTTTCTTTCAATAAATTGTTGGGAATTTGTCATTAAGTTTGAAATACAATATCATTCAAATGTCCTCTATAGAACTTTTTATAGTATTGAATGTTTTTGAAATAATTTTTACCGCCTTAACGGCACATAGCTCAGCTATAACTTGATGGATGTTTGTAATCACATCATTGCAGTTCAAAGATTGTTTGCACAAACATAATCCTTGTTTCCATGTGTTTTGTCACATGATTGCAATGAAATAGTCTTGTTCTGGAAGCTACTTGAGGGCACTATGTATTGGTCATATACATATTTTTAATTTCAATCCAATAGAGTTGGTGATCACGTAATTGTAGCGATCAGAGTTTATGAGTTTGCCACATCATCATAATTTTGAAGAAAGAACGGGTCTATAACACCTTCAAACCAAACTAAATACCATTACAGCATCAATTTTATTGTTTAATGTTTTCACTGCCCAATATGCAATAACTTTGTTAGTTAACCAAGTGACAAGTAAGCCTAATCATTGGAGGAAATTCGATTTGAAAATTCTTCAGTTTTGTTTAAATAATTGATTTTTGTGTTGACAAGGTGACAAGGTATTATCGCAATTTTCGAAATTTCTAAAAATTATTGACATAAGAATGTTTAATAACTTGCTTTTAAAAATGGCAAATATTTAGTTAAAAATATGATGGCGTAAATGATGATTTCCACTGATCTTGGATTGATATCAGTTTTTGTGGATCACATTAGAATTCATAGTAGATTATGTGTAACATCGGAAAATCGTACATTTATTTTTTTTTTATTTTTTTTTTATTTTTTATTTATTTTTTATTTATTTTTTATTTATTTATTTTTTTATATAAATATTCTAAGTTACTGCTATGTGTTTTAACGATCATTCATGATTTTATTTAATACTGTCTTTAGTTCTTTTAAAAATGATCTCAGCTAAAAAGCAAGAAATATTAATTCTAATACATTAAGAAAATAGTTAGAGTAGTGAAGGAAGTAGATTTTTTGGAAGGTTGGTTGTTACCTTATGTTTAGTTATGGACCTTGCGATCAGGGCCGTTCATGTTTATAGTTTATTAAAATAAATAACATAGATCATTTTAAAATATATTTATACTATATTTTTAAGAAAATTAAAAAAAAGTTTGATGAACTTTTTTTTTGACAATTTGCGGTGTCCAAACTTAATTTTTAATGTTTTAAGACTGACAGACATTGTCGATTGATATTTATTGATGATCACTGTATTGTACTGTACTGTATTCAATACATATAAGGTATATATTTTAAATGATTTATTTTAATATGATTTGTAGTATTATATAAAAAAAACTAAAACATATAAACCAATTTTAGTTTTTGATTATTACTTCATATATCTCAAAAATATTTTTTAAACAATTTTATAATTTGTTTAATTAGAGTGTTAATGTAACCGATTTTATATATTAAAAATTTTTTTATTTGTCAAAATAAGCACCTTCACTAAGTACATAATGAAAACTACTTTTGGCTAATCTATGTTTTGTTCAGAAGTATCTGAAAATCATTTGTCGAGTATTAAGTATTTATTATTATTAGTTCAATAAAATTAATAATTAACTATTTCACTCTTGAGGAGATAATTGATTAATAAAATAAAATATGTAAGTATTATTTAAGTCATTGAAAATTTTTCGCTATACAAAATTTCTTGTTGAAATTCAATTATTAGAAATTAAATACAAAATAAATCCTTTCACTTCAGTTATTCATGCAGTCAGTACTCAAGTAATGTATACATTACAATAAACTACAATCAAAGTGTCAGTTTACTGCATTTAAAATTCGGAATAGAAAAATATATCAAGTTCTAAATACAGTAAAAAATAAAGGACTATATATTATTATAACAAGTTTAAAAACTTGATGTGAATTACAAAGTAAACCCCTTTACTCCGCTTAACGTAGACTCAGTACTCATTTTACGAAATGAAATCTTTATACTGATTAGAAATAAAATAGATTAGCTTAAGATAGATTTACAAAAAACTGTAGCTATGAATTGTTCCAGATAATGGGTAAAAATAAATATGTAATTAAAATAAGCATAATAGTTTGAAATACAATATATATCAATAGCTTTTTAATTTAATTTAAATTGATTGCTTTTAACTGAAATCCAATATTTGCTTTAATTAAGAATGTTGCATATTTTGCTGTCATTCTGTCCTGTCACACGTATCAACCTAATATTTTTTAAAATTTTATGCATCCGAAAAGATTGAAACTTTCGTTAAGCAAAAGGAATGCTGAAAAAATGCTGAATTCAAGAAAAATCGAAAATTTAAATGAAAATATGTAGAACGTTGACATTTTCCACTTTGATGAAAAAACGCAAATGATATTTCGTTTACTAATACACCTCAATTTTATTTTACATAAGGATATATATATTGTACGTATATGTGATATATAAAAGAGCACTTGCTTATATCTATCTGTAGACCACTACAAAGGTGACGCAGACTTCGAAGCAACCACAAAGATACTCGTATAAAACTAAGAAAATTGTTTTGCAGCGAATTGAATACATTTTCTGATTTGTGTATCTCAAGTATACAAAATATACAAAATTTTCTTCGTGTGTTGCTCAATTTTTGAAAATTTTGTTTGTTTTCTTGGATGGATGCCAGTGAAAATAAAAAATAAATAAATAAATGTGTAGTAGAAAAATTAAATAATAAAAAGATTTTGCCTGTTGCTTCAATTTTACGGGTTCACTGTAAAATTTATAAACAAATTGTGATATAATTGGGCTATGTACGTACTATATGCATGTTGCATAGTTTGATTAATGTTCATAGATTATTGCCAAATAATATGGAGTATAACTTTTATGATTCAACGTTGGCTTCTTCTTTTTTTTTTGACTTTAATAAAATTTTTATTTAAAGTTTTATTTGATATATTATATACATAGTTATATCTGATGTATCTCTAAAATTATAAACTCATTGCTAATAAAATTTTTAATTTAGCTCTTTAAACTACCCCATTTGCGTATATAAGATATATTTTCCTATATAATACTTAAGTTATTTAGGGATTGTCAACAGAATAAAATTTTAGTGCGGTTCCGTTTATATACTGCATAATTCATTCGGTTTTAGGTGCTCTAAGGTTTCTATTTCTTCCTCTTTGATACGTATGTGAGACCCATTTTCAAAGCATAAGATGAAATTATACAAAGCTCTTAATTATCACCACCATTTATTTTACAATCACTATATTGCAAGTGAATGGATTGCTTTCCTTAAGGAATCTACATTGGTAACTCCTATTTTCTTAAGATCTAGATTCTTGTAAATATCATTGAGATTAGTAACTCTAGAGTAGGAAACATGAATGAGCTACATGACCGCTGTAGTCCGTTCATGCGGTGTAGAGGAGAGTAGAGAAGAGGAATGTATCGAGTTTAGGGAAAGACAACAGCATGAGTAGTGCTAATTTAAACTAGTTTGATTATGTTCAAAGGTGGACATTAGAATTTATAAACGAAGTAAGATCCATGTTCTTGTAAATATCATTGAAAATAGTGAATTTATAATAGGAAGCATGAATGGACATCACCTCAGTAGTCCACTTATGTAGTGTGAAGGAAAGAAAAGAAGAGGAAAGAACAACAGCGTGGGCATGAGCTAATTGAAATTAGTTTGGTTAGGTTCAAAGGTGGATATTAGAATTTATTTTAAGAAGACAATTTTGTAATAATTCCATGAGCTATTCCTTGATCTTAGGTGGCTTTGGTGTACAAGGTCGCCACTTCAATCTAATCTATTTCAAGTAATATAAATTTATATGCTTAAAAAAAGTATAAGAAAGTTTCACAATTGAATATTATTGAAATTTGTAATAAAATATAGATCTGCATTCTCTAAAATTCAGTTAATATACAACTTTATTTACTTCGATTAGAGTCATTATATGTTCGTATACCCAGGAAGTACATATTTAATTAAGAATTTATTTTTAAATATTTTTACGTGCTTAAGTTTTTTTTAATGTAGAATCATTTGTTATTTATTGTTTTTGCTAATAAAAATGGTCAAACAAAATAATATGTTTATTCTAATTTATTTGCTATTAAGCAACTTATAAACCATCCAAGATTTCAAGTGTTGAAAGTAAAAACAAAATATTTACCACGTAGGCGTACCAAGAAACAATGATTCTATATTCAATAGGGGAGAAATATACATAAAAATGAAAACATGACAAATATTTACTGATGAAATTAGTGAAACGTCCGTTAAGTGATATTTATCGGTAACAACTGTTGTTAATTAAATTGGCATACACTCTGTAGGCATTTCTTGTAGTTTCGAAAAACTATTGAATGGTACAGAATCAATACGTTACATGCGATTCATGGTGTGAGACTAAAACACTGAGGCTGATGAAGTACAAATAAATTTGCTTTATATTGAAGCCTTAGAATGCTTATATCCTTAAAGTTATATCTATATTTGTATTTTTCATATATATATTATTCGTTAAGGATAGAAAAAATAATGATATATTTCTCTACTGCTTCAGGGAATATATAATTTTAACACCGGGATTTGGATTGATTGAACTGATGATATAAAAACTATAACATACACATTATAACCTTTAAGTGGACAAAGTATTTCATATAGTCAGGCTGTTACCATATTGTTAACTGTAATGTTGAAGTATTATTTATGCTGCATTTTATTAATAATGCATATTACAATTCATAATGTAGTAGTTACCATTTTTTAACAAAAAAATTTTAATTCCAAAAGTTAATGAAAGAAAATTCGAATAAATTTGTCTTTGAGAATTTTGATCTCTTACTATACATTATCACAATGGGCATAGTTCACGGGCTTAAATAAACCGATCTCGCTTTCTATAAGAAGAGCTATCATTAGTACCTTTTTATAACACTTTATAAGTAAATCTTATTTTTTAAGACAAACTATAAATTATACAGTGATGTTTTCTCACGGTATAATTTATAAATTACGACAAATTTGATATTTAATCATTAAATAAGATTGGGATTTAAAAAATATATTAAATATTTATTAAGTATATATTAAATAATCATGCAAAAAGAAGTATATTTTTTCATTCAACATTTTCTTTACATTTTCCAAGATTAGTCTTTATTTTAATAATGAAATTATTTAGTTGACAAAGAAATGTATAATTTTTTTAATGAAATACTTTTTCAATGTAAAAGAATGGTGAAGTTATGCTATGGCAACAGAAAACTTCCAAACTGATGATTCTAGGGATGCTACTCGCTCGTGTGCTTGCTCTTAGGAATAGTTTAAGCGTGTAATTTTCCACCCACTAAAAGTCGACAATCCAATAAACAATATGAACGACAACAGCAATAATATTAAGAAAAAAAACCAATGAAAGATTCAAAATATATGAAGAGGAAAATAGGTATCATAAGCTGACGTGAGTATGGATACGTGGGAAGTGGGCGTTTGATAAGTTTTTGTGTTGGTTTTTACGTCCCTGAAGTGTTGTACAGAAATGCTGCAAATATTTTAATTTTTACTTGATATTTATTTTTTTTTTACCTCGATGTGACCATTTTTATGGGGTACTATATAACAAATATGACTCGGAAAAATGTTTTTCTGATATATACAAAAATATATCAAGTAGTAATATTTGATGTCTTTTGATACGTCATTTTATGTTTTGGCTCATTAAAGTCATCATAGGATGTAGTCAATCATGTTTTTTGTATATTTTAAAAGAAAGATAAGATTTATCAAGAGATTGCCGCATATATTTCGTAAATAATTCAATGCAAATACACCTTAAATAACTATGTTTCTAGTTAATTAAATATATTATGGTATTTTTTTATTATATATAATGTTATCAATAAATGTTTGAGCATCGGTCACAAGAAAAAAAGTTTTACTGCCGAAGCTTTGTTATAAATTAAATATGTTTTTCACTATTATTATTTGTGATAAACTTATATATATAAATATTACTCTATTATAATGTATATGGTTTCTCTTCGTCCTTGATTTATGGCTACAGGAATAAAATAGCGTTGACCTTTCTAACAATTTTCATCAATTTTGCTACATTTACTGCACATTCATTTGGTGAGTCTACATATCTATGATCTTAAGGTCATGGCAAAATTTATTTGTGGTTTTATCATTTTAACTAGCTCCTCTTTTAATACACGTAAGTTCAAAAATTAGAAATCGGTATTATTAGACATTTATAGCAATTTAGTTTATATCGATCTTTTAGATTAAGTAATATGTTTTTTAAAATAATGAATAAAATAAAATTTAAACTAAATTATCTTTTTTTTTGTTTTTAATAGAATATTACTGCAACACATAAACCTTGTTTGGAAAAATCGCCGTCGTCGCAGAGTCAATTGAAATATATCTCAGTTTTAATCTTAAGGACAATGTTTATGTAGCCATATATAAAACTAAACTGTTTTCGTAATTACTTAAGGAAGAGATCGTGAATGTAAATAATAAAAATAAATGGTAAGTTAAGAATAGTATATATTAAAAACTGTAATTTAAAAATATATCATATAACATAAATAATTTGAAGGTATTTAGAAACTAAAACTTTATAAAGAAGTTTCACTCGAACCCTCCTATAAGATAAAATTAACTATTCTATAAATCTAATTAAAATCTTCTTCGATATTCTTATAAAAGAGTATTTCTAGATTCAGTTTATTAAAATAAATTCTTTACTACGCTATGTACGATATAGTTTACTTCACGAGATATTGACATTTAAAGTTGTTAACATTTTGTATTCTCTTCTTGTGTTTTCATCCTAGATTTATGGTTACTCCACTTTAACTGTTTTATGGAGGTGATTCATTAAGTAGTAGGTATAGATGTAATTTTAATTACATTGACTGGAACAAAATGCTTTTAAGTTGTTTAATATTAGACTTTGAATTCAAGAATATCTGCTACTGGTAACAAAACACTTATTAGCTTTTAACAAGTTTCACTTCTCCATTCTGCTCAGTATACACAGTATGAAAAGCTTTACGGCTCTATACCTAATATATTTTTCAATACTATTTATTTTCATATCCTTGTCTATATCCAAATTTCTTACATATTACGTGACATTCACCAGTTTCCTTAGAACTATATTTTGATATGATTAAAGTTTGTTTAGTCGAGCCGTAGATTTTGTTATTGATATTCATTTTCTTGTTCTGTAGAGGACTAGGGTAAAAAGTTTTAAATTCCATGCAATCCTCTTTCTTCTTTCCATAAAAATGATATTTTACTTTTAAATTCTACTTGAAGGAGAGATTTTTTAACAGTAGATTTGTTAGAAATTGTTTAATTTTACTGGTAACAAATATGGCTTTAATTTCCTCTATATTGACGTTTCTTTCTACTTGTCAAAATTTAACATTAATTTTAATATTTAATACACTCATGAAGGTAAAAGTAGCAAAATCTGTTCTGAATAGCTAACTCCAATACAAATCGTTATTAAATCTGCGTGTCCAGAATATGCATGCATATGTTATGCATGCTCAGTTAGTCAATACGTATCGATTGAACCTTGACTCTTTAGTTTATGACTAAATTTATTATTGAAAATATTTAAAAAGTTAATAATTCTAATCATTAAAAACATTAATATTTTATTTAAAAATGAAAAAAAAATTATTTTAGAGTTAAGACTATTTATGAGTTTTTACAAATGAAACTAATATACCATCGACTTATATGCACAAAAAATTATATTGGACTTCTTTATTGCCAAAAGGACTATTGTACATTTCTTTATGATAAGATTAGTTTACTGCCCTATTACGCTAGTTTCTTGAAGTTAAGTTCTATACTTAGTTAAGTCTAAGTATAGCATTATTCAATAAACAAGTTCAGATTATTTCCTTCTATGCAGCAGCTGAAATGTTATTAAAGAATCTTTTCTGTTCATATGGTCATCTAATTACAGAAGTTTTCCATATGCTTAAAACCTTTTTCGCATCAACTGCATCTGCTTTTTTGAGAAATAAATTAATAACTTATATTGCAAAATATGTTAGTAAAATATTTTTAGATTAGCTTTAAAGCACGTGCTACTTAATGCTGAATGTAATGCTGCAGAAAAGCATAAATGGGAGTTTTAAGTCGCTAAAATGACAGGTGCTGCCAAGCTGCATTACAATTGCTGCAACGAGTGGACTCCTCTGCGTACACACTTTCTGTCCCATAAGTACTTTTCTTCTGTAAACGCACATGAGTCCATTTGTATATCTTTAGATACGATTTTATATGAAAATGTTAAAATGTTCTTATGTTGAAACAATGTATGAGTGTATGTCAAATACTCATTATGTGCTTTAGCTGGTAGAATTTACGAGCATCATAAGCACAAGTCAATAACAACAACAATAATAACAGAACAGACCAACAGCAAATGTTGGCGACGATATGCTGATAGCTGGTGTAGTTGCTACATGCCAAACGGTTGCAAAAAAAAAACATGTTTAATTAAACAGCGCTACCAACAAAACAAACACCAAAAAAAAAAAACATAAAATCGCCATGGCGGAACGTCCGGCAGCTGTTCAGTTCGTTTTGATTTTTTTATTTTTTTTATTTTTTTAAATCTTTTCTTTATAAAAAATTTTTGAACTTGTTTTCATAATTCCTTACAGTTTTATAAAACAGATACAATCTTAGATCTTACAGTACAGTTGGAATTGTAATTCCCTGATTAAGTGTAGTTCCTTCTTGCATTATTTAGCTGTATATAAGTACGAGTACTATTCAGAGTATTCAGAGACGAATTTGCAGAGATTGAGAGTATTAACCCAAAATTCTTTTCTTTCGCATAAGTACATGTGAACCATTAAACTAACTACCTCAAGGCAATATGAAGTAGATCAAAATATAACAAATATATATATACTTACATATCTATATAAACATTAATGCCAACTGTACTACGCCATTTTATAGTATTTACCAATTAAATAAATCGTCGATTCGTCTTCAGCACCTTTATACTTGTTACTCTTCGCGACGCTACAATGCCGATGACTTTTCACGCTTAATTGCTGATGACCAACTGCTGTCGCGACTATTGAGTAGCAAATTTGGCTAAAATCCAAATATTTTTTACGTTGCGAAATAATGGATGTTTCTCTATTCAAAATAAAAAGAAAAAACCTGAAAAGCAAAGAAAAGAATTTAAAAGTGCTACCGTGAAAAAGAAAAATGAATTTTATGGCGGTCTTAATTATACATAAACATCTTCTAATGTCTGAGATATATAACAGCGTACAGATACTTTACTAAACAAGCTTTATTGTTTTTTATTTTATTTTTTTTTTTTTTTGTATACTATACAATGTGAAACCAACTGTATAGTAGTACATCAATATATATAAAATATCTTCGTTTGCTACATAAACTTCTTATGATTTTGTTTTTCAAAGTTTTCGCTATGGAAGTTTTTTCTCAATCTTATCAAAGTAAATAGAAACTTTTGTTAACAATTTATATGTTAAGTACATTATGTTTAGGAAAACAGTTTTATGAGGTAGAACTTGATTTGCTTTACTGTAGCTCTTAAGACAGTTACTTCTACTCATTAGTCTATATATTAGACATATTGTAAGTACTTGCTGTGTATACATTTTGCATAACTGATTTCCATACTGAATATTGAGACAATTTAATAGATTTTTTTTTTGAATAGATTTGGAAATTTGGAAAACAGGTGTACACATTTAGTGTGGATGATGAGATAATTAAACAAGTACAGTTATATTTTAATAGTTCAATATAACCACATCGATTTGTTGACATTTTTTTGTAATAGTACTCTGCTCTAAGGACTCTATTAAAATAAAATTAACAATTAATTTACAAACTTATATTTCACATACTTAAACCTTTTTAAAAAACAGAAACATTTAAAAAGTGAACTCATATCTACTCTAAAATTTTTTATTATGTTTTTTCTTGTCCATCTGTTATAAAGATAATAAAATTTGCTCAAATATTTATTTTCGAAAATATATTTCAGCATCTTAATGAATACATCTCACTGACTATAACTTAAACTAATTCACGTGAAATTCGCATAATGTGCTCGCATAACGTGTTTCATTTCTCTCTCTAGGTAGAAGAATTTTTTATCATTCTGTAAATATCATTACAGCTTCATATCTTATCATAGTGATGAGCACTCCTATATCTTTTAGATTCCATGCGGAAAATCGCTGAATACTGTAAGATGCTTGTAATACTTAATGTATAGCTTGTCTTTTGTTGTAGGGGGACATCTAACACATCGTTGGCCTCAAAATGTTACAGATTTAATCAGAATTTAAATTTTATCAATAAAAATAAGCTAAACCAATTTCATCCTTTTAGAATATACTATAAATTAGTAAATAAAGTTAATTATTAGAAAGTGTAACAAATCAGTTAGTATGAAAGGTATATATTCGAGTTTTATTTCGTAAATTATTTTGAAGTATAGTCTAGTCGTACAGTGATCTGGTCTAAACTATATAAGATACAAAAAGCTTAATTTATATCAATTTCATAAATAACAATATAGTATATCGTTTTGTTAAGTTGTTATTCAACTGCAAAAGTACGTTCACCAAAGTGCTGCATAACTGTATGAATGCGAAAATACCAACTTTCCATTCTTCATATCAAAAATATAAGGGCCCAATAAAATTATGAACACCAATATATCCTCAATAAGTAAAATATTGCAATATGGATTGAATACAAGCTGTGCAAGGACTCCAGTGAAATATGTAAACCAACGTCAGACTTAAATCCTAAAGATAACCAAAAACAAGGCCAACTAAAAATTACTGAAGTTAAAGTATATAAAAAAAAATTTTAGAATCTGGAAATCTTCGAATGGAATCAAATTGAAGTAGTTCTTCTAGTTTAAGAATCCTAATGTATAATATATATGTGTTACAATATGTCAAATATTTCAACTTTTTTATTTTAGAGTTATTTATATTTTTCTTCTACACATATGTGACGTTTATTATTTTATTTGCAAAGTCTTGTCTTACGGAAAAAATTTCGTATATGTTGTTATCATTGTATTAGGTATGAAACTATCTAAAATTTTGTTTGGTCTGATCATATACAGTTCTTATAATAATTTTTTTATATCACATAATTAAAAAAACATTATTTAAATAAAAGCTTTTGTTACTTAAAAGAAAACAAAAGAATAGAATGAGAATTGATTTTATAAATTTTTTTGATTGTAACTGATATGCCTTGATGTTTTTGAAGTACCTATATGCTGCTCATACATGAATTGTGTCTAATTTATGAAACTCCTTGATGTACACTACTTATGCATAACTAACGCATTTGTTGCGTTATTCCCAAGTTTGGCGCAGTTGCATATGAAATCAAATGCTTTTAGTATCTAAGTTTTCTCAAATGCATGAGTTGTGTCTAAATATAGAATACGCATTAGCCCCTGGGATATCTTTTAT